TATTTATTTATCAGTCATATTTATAGTAAAATATTTATTCCTGAAGATTCTGTTAGATATTTTTGCAGGCATGAAGATTTTACAATTCCTCCTATAGATTATTTGTACACATCCAGGGCTTTTTTTGTAATAGAACGCCAAGGACGGAGTTCCGGCACCTTTTTTGGATGGAACCTTGTAGGGTAGGCAAGGCGGGTTGTATGACATGTGTGAGTTCTTGCACCTTTTCTTTTTACAAAAAAAGCACTGTACACATCTATCTTAAAAGGTGGATTTCTGTTTGTGCAGTACAAAGATGCGAAACTGGTTTGCTTAGTTTTCATAGATGCAATGCAAGGGCAGATCAGATTACTGAGGAGGAGACAAAAAACAAGGGCAAAATTCAAAAGGACTTTATTGTACAGATGATTCAATAGAAAGAGTTGCTTTGAAATATACTGGAATCATTTCAGCTTACAAAATTCCTTATAGTTTTTACTTAAAACTGCTTACTAAAAGGAAATGGATTGGACCGGAGCAATTTTAACATTACTACTATTTATTCTTGCAATTAAGTTCCTTTTCAAAGAGGGCAGTTCCTGGAATAACAGCGCCTCCAATCTCCCCCCGGGACCCAGGACCATACCCATTCTGGGAAATCTACACATGATGGATCTGAAGAAGCCTTACAAAACAATGATGGAGGTAAAGCCTGATGATTAACATACAAAAGTATTTTTTCCCAAAACTTGTTGGGATGGGACAAAATCTTGGTAGCTTGTTCAGGTAAGTCTGGGGTGCTCTGAGGGCTACATATGGTAGAATAGATTTTGTAAGACTTGCAATATGTATTTTGTAGTAACGTTGCACTGGCTTACTAAAATGGGTTTTCTTGGGTTTTAATTTGCCTTATTTCTCTTATTTCTCTCTCTTTTAAATGTATTGTTAATAATTGGCCATAAGCTCAACCTAGCAAAAAAAAAAATGTAAATAGCCTTTCTTTTAGAAACTGGGACCTTGTGGAAGTGCTTGAGAGATAAAACTTTTTTATTTTCAGCTAACAAACAAAACAAGTATTCCTTAGGAAAGTGCTGTGTATGTATCTTACCCATATCCATTCTGACATGTTTTCCCTTGCAAATGTTTCTCCCAAAAGTGCTTTTTCAGGAGGCAACTGGACTTTCTTGTTTTTCCTGCAACCTAAAAAAGCACCTTTGGGACAACCATGACCTGCATGACTGAGAACCTCCATAGACACTTGAAAATGTTTATTTTACTTTTATTCAAAATACAATGCTCTTTTCAATACTTATGCTTACATATTATTGGATGTCTAATTTTTCCATGATGTAACTGGGCAGATGATTTTCAGTAAACCAATTAGCTTTTACTTTGAAGTTTTTTTGCTGTGCAAACTATAAATGTAAGTGTAAGCCTTTGTTCCAGGTTCATTTCTCAAAAGGGAATCCTTGTTAATTGAAACATTTCAAATAAATCATAAATTATTATTTTTTTAAAGTGGAAACTTCAAGGGACAAACCTCCACCGGTCTGGAAATGACATTTAGTGTTGTGTGTATCTTTGTGTGAAGGTTGAGTTGTTTCCAAGTCACGGGGGGTAGGGGAACCCTCTAATAATAAACAAAAAGGCTTTATTCAAAAACATTAAGAAAATGGAGCTCATTGATTTGTCTTCCCTGAAATAATAATGATACAGCAATAATAATTACTTTGCCTGAAGAAAGAATGGAGTGAAATCCCAAAGGTGCTTTTTCAGGAAGTAACTGGACGTCCTTATTTTTCTTTCAAGATATTTCTGCGAAGCAACAAGTCAGGGCCCTCTAGGAGGTCCTGGGTTTCTGCCGCCACTGGATCCCCTCATTAGGGGAACTAGCAAACCCCTAATTCAGCTGACAGCCAAAGATATGCCAGATCCCATCTCATGGACAAAGCCATTAGATCAGACCTTCCACGAAATAAAACAAACATTGACTTCAGCCCCTGCCCTTGAAGTAGCATGACATCTGCTAAAAGATAAAGTGCCCAGGTTTGGAGTGCCAAATGTCTTGGACATGGACTGGGGGACAAAAGCCATCTTAAACCACACAAAGCTAAGGGATTTCCCACTCACAGCCACATACTCCACTATCTTTGACAGAGGAACTAGCACCAACCTCAAGGATGAGAGTATGAATACCCTAGGCATGGGAGCAGTCACCAACATGGCTGCATGCTTCAGGATGATAGGCTGTCAAGTCCCCATATGCCAAAATCTCAGCAATGCTGAACTAATTTGCACTGAAACTCTCCCATTCTTATACAGCCACATTAAGCTTCCCCTGGGCTGGTTTTTGTTATGTGAGGGTCAAAGCCTATTCCTACCTACTGGCAAACTCCACCAGGGACAACCAGGGGACCGTGCACCTAGCCATCCTCAAGCCTTCACTACAGAGACAACAGAGGAGGGACCTGAAAACCTTAACATCGTATTGTAACTCCCACACACCCCTATTCACTAAAACCAAGTATACAGCACTGGGTAGTGTCATCGGTTGAGGTCTGGGCACTCGCCCTGGGCAATTCCAGAAACATTAACAGCCTAGCCTGTACTCTGGTTAAAAACTTAAACTCAACCTCCCCAAACCCTAGATGTTTTAAGCAGAGAACTGAGGCAGGTCAGGGAAGCCACACTGGAAAACAGAGCAGCCATTGATTATCTGTTGCTAAGACATAACCATGGTGGGCAAAGAATGTGCTGTTTTAATCTGACCAAATGTTCAGAACTCATAGAGAGTTTCATTAGGCACCTAAAAGAACTAACACAAGACATTAGCTACAATAAATTTCCCTTCAATCTGTCTGGACTCCTTTCATGGCTACTGGACTTTCATTGGCTAAAAAGTCTCACTTTAGGAGCCGCCACAGTAGTCATTGTAGATCTTCTCCTCTGCTGCCTCTGTCAATGCATTTCCCCATGCCTCAGCTGTCAAAGAACCTGCCTCTCGACCATCCCCAAACCCAATAAGAAAGCAAACCAGGTCTCTTTCTTGATGACCCAAATATGTTTCAGCACAAAATGGGGGAATTGGGAGAGAATCATAACCCTCCCCCCCTATTCCATGTCCTCAGGAAAGGAACTAAAACAATTAACAAAAGCTTTAAAGAAAAAGAGCCATTCACGAAGGCTGGGAGACAGAAAAATAAACTCTACCTCTTAGCTAAGCATAATAGCCTCAGGTGAACTGATAAGAGGATACATTGTTAAAGCAGAGATAGGCAACCTTGGCTCTTTTATGACTCATGGAATTCAACTCCCAGAATTCCTGGGCCAGCTGGAGTCAAAGTCCATGAGTCATAAAAGAGCTGCCTACCCCTGTGTTAAAGGAAAACTGCAAGAATGTAGCAAGAAGCAGCTTCCACACTTCAGACTAAGGCAAACAGAACTGACAGGATTAAACTAGTAAAACATAAAAACTTACTAAATTTACATTCTCCTCCCTTCCCCAATGCTGGATTTGACCCCTTCCGCTATCCAGAAAACAGGACAGAGACAATCACATTGTTAAACTAATCAAATACTCCATCAGGCATCTCAATCACAAAAGCCCTGAAGAGTATAAAGATCATCCTGCTCATCCTTAGACTCTGCCAGATGACCCGTAACCCACTGCTGCTGTCACTGCAATTCTCTGGCTTCTGAAGTAAACCTCCTTTCCCACAGTTTGCTTCTCGGCTTCTTATTTTGTTCATCAGCACCGATCACATCATCCTGGCTGGAAGGAATGAACCGGAGATTTTTTTTTTCTTCCCACATTGTCTTGATTTCTGATGTTTTGGAAAATAGGTTGACCCCCTCTTCTTCTTTTTTTTATTTTGATTGTTATGTTTGGGATTTTTATTTGCTGTTTCATCCAACAGGTCCATTATTTGCTACACTGTGTAATACTTGCATCCACTTTTGTATTTCTTCTACTCGTAGCAAAGATGAGAGCTTTGCTTCCTTGCGCAGTCTGGTTCCTAACAGGCATGGAATGCTACCAAATTTTTCTTACAGCTTACAGGATTCCTGATTTTTAGATTCATTCATAAGAATATATTTTAACTTCTCTCCTTAAAGAATTAACACAATCACCTTCAAAAACTACTGTGGGCATCATTGGAAAATTTCTGTGTGATCTCTTGAACAAGATGTCAGAAGCTCAGTTTCTCTTTTATGAAATTCTACTATGTATCCAGCACTACTGTATGTTCAAGGCACCTTTCCAAATTGTGGAATGGAAGTGTATCCCTTTTGGAGGTTTCATCTTCATAGTATGTCCTGCACAAATGACTCTTTTAAAACATATTAAAAACCTTTTTTTCCAGTTTGACATACATTTCTAGTGTGAGAGGATCTTTTATTATGTAAGAATGTTTTAATTTATATTAAGTTAGATCATATGAAAATTAAAAATTATAAAGAAGAATATACTATCACAATTTTCAATAGAACAGAAAAATGAAATAACATCATCTCCACTTTTGAATTTTGACTCATAGTTTCTTAAACAATCTTCTACATATGTAAGTCTAATTATTTATCAAAATGGCCTCTTGTTTTCCTTTTGCTGAATTCCAGTGGTCAAAAGAATATGGTCCCATTTTTCGCATCAAACTGGGATTCCAGGAGATGGTGGTGCTGACTGGCTATGAGATGGTGAAAGAGGCTCTAGTGAACCAGGGAGATGCATTTGCAGAGAGAGCCTCTGTCCCCTTTTTTGAGGATGTTGCAAAGGGCTTTGGTGAGTTGCTTCATTTTGGATTGTAGCTGGCATTCCTTGCAGATGTGCAATCAGTGCCATGGAGACATGTTTATATGTAGTAACATTAAAGAACTAGGAAGCTTGTGGAAATCCAGTTCAGAAAGTGACCGAGATAAAATCTTTCCTTAACCACTTTGAGTACATCTAGTCCTCAGTAGGGGAAACTGGAGAATTAAAAAATAAGACAA